GTGTTTCCTATAATTTAGCATGTGGCTTATGTAAAGATTGAAGAGCTAATAGAACTCTTGTGTATTTTGGCTCTGAGAGCCAATGCCTAAAACTTAAGAAAAAAATATATATATATCCTAGTTAATACCCAATGTTAATTTGTTATTCTGAAAGCAATGATTTTCTAAGGTCTTATAAAAATGAGGCATTATAGCTTTTATCCCAGTATTTGCCTCTACAGTTTGGAAATCTGAGCTAGAATTTAGATTATTTTGTATTATGTATTGCCATATTTGGAAAAAAATCATACATTCCAGTCCCACTCTGCAACAGAAGCCGTACGCAGAAGCAGGGGTGTGCAGGCATGGCGTGTCTGCTCAGTAATTTACCGCTCCGTAGTTTGGAGCAGTGAATACACTTTCCCTCAGCGCGAAGCCTATACACGCAGACTATCAACGACAATCTAAATGTCCCAATACTGTGGCAGAAACACAAACATTGCAGAGTTATTTGAAATATATTTTTCCAGGGAAAATAACTCCCCGGGTACCAATGCATTTAATTTTAAAGTTACTCTTTTTTTAAACTTGTAAGGATTTCCACAGAATTGAGTAAGTTTTGGATTTTTTAAAAAAAATATAGCTTCTTAGGCATATTTTATAGTTTGAGGATTTTTTTTAAGTCCACTAATGGTTTATAACTTTTGAATTAAAAAACAGATTTGTGGCTCGGCAGTTTAAATTACATTTTAATTTCACTTCACTCCTTATAGGAACTGTAACTCCAGCTGGATTATTTCTTTGTTTAAAAGTATGAGACATTATGTTTTTAACTAGAGTTTTTGGAGTTGGAAAGTAAATACAAGATTATCCTTGAATATTTTCGGTGTGTACGTAGAACTTAATAAGCAAAAAAATTTTAATATATAACTGACTTTCAAAGTGTTTCCTGAATAGGTGATTTTGTACGTTAGTGAAATCAGTGTGTGATCACATTTTTTTTGTTTTAAAAAAAATCTCCGTTTTTCCCTCCACACAGTGAACCTGGCCACGAGCAGGCTAATAGGTGCTGTGGCAGGCACCATTCTGGCCCTGGGGGTGATTTTTGGAGGCACGGGGTGGGGAATAGAGTAAGCATCTTTCTGAGTTTCAGAGTGTTTCCGTGTGGTCCCCGGTGTGTGAGCTGACCCTCGACCCCTGACTCCCCCGTGTCGTCTCGTTAATGTGGTGGTGCTACTTGTTGCCCGTGGTGGTGCTACTTGTGCTGTGACTTGGACGTGTTTGTGTTGTGTGGTTTTCTCGTGCGGTGGAGAACCTTCTCCTGTCTGGAACAATGTGGGGCATGACATAATCCTGGGTGCTGATGTCTTCGCCGTGGAGGATGGTCCAAAAGCTTCCGTTGCTCCTCCACTTGAAAAGTAATGCTAAGATACAGACCTTTTTTTTTTTTTTTTTTACTATTTATTGGAAAAAATGCTTTCATAGAAGTGTTTTATTAGGACTCTTATGACAATTTGAATCATCACCAGTCAGATAGATTCACCTATATAATTAGGAATTACCAACAGTTGTAGCTCTTTTTTAAGGGTAATCTGAATGATAGTCACTAATATTTTCTCCGTTGATTGAGAATGCCAAAGGAAGCTTCAGCTTGTTGTTACAAAGAAGATATTTAGCACATCACCTCTTTTTAAATAAAATAGGTTAATAATTCCAATTTGATGTTTACATAAATATTTTGGAGCAAACAGCATTAAGAATGAAGAGATATTTAATCCAAACTTGCAAAACTTTAAGGGAGCAGTTGCAAATTACCTGGTGGGTTTGTCTTTTGAGGAGCTAGAGTATAAATATGTGGCCTGCATGCACTTGCCGTTGAGCTCTCGTGGTGCCTCTATTTAGATTGCTCTGCACTTGATCTATATCCTCAGAATAGCTGTCAGTGCTCCTTGGGCTACTGCTTTCATGAGATTGCCAATGTACATGTAGACTAAAAGATTATTGTGATATTGTGATTTCCCCCCTCTAATTCCAGAGAGAGCATTTGCAAATTACAAAAATACTCCACATGCTGTCTTTTCTGCTCACTGTGGTGATGTTAACACTTCACAGTGGCCCTGGAACAAATTGCTAGGATCTTAAGGAATCGCCAGGTAACCTCCACGCAATCAGCCCAAACCATAGGCAAGTTGAGAACATCACTCATTGTCCCTTAGTCCCATTGGTGGCAGCACACAGGTGTTCTCCTTTCAGACTGGGTCTGGGAGGCCCAGGAATGGGGAGAAATAGCATGAAGAGGGAGGTCCGTAGGTCACAGGTGGTGTCGATTCCCTAAATCTCACCTGGGTTGAAGGGCTTTGACGACGTGGATCTTGTAATTCACACCCCATCAGTATGGACTGTGAAGCGAGTAACCCCGGGGAAGCTACAAGTACTTGAAAAAATATTTTGTTTCTCAATCTCTGTTAGAAAATAAAGTATATGTGAAGTAAAATATTTCTAGAAAACGAACTTCTATAAAATTTCACCGTGGGTCTGTTGACTGGATTAGATACAGAAGTAACATTCCTTTCCAGGGGAAATTCCACACACACATTTATGTGAAATTCCTCCTGGGAAGAAAGGTCATTTTTAAAAAAACCATTCCAAATCCATTTTTAAAAAAATGTAATTTATTGACTGTGCTAACTGAAGGGGTGAACTTTAATAATGTTCCCTTGGCGTCTTAGAGCTAGGCAGGATCTGGGAGCTTTGTTGTAAGGCACAGTCCTTGTCCTCCTTCCCTTCCAGTGTTGTTGGTTTGTGGCTATTTCTGGTTGTGACAGGTAAGTCTGTATACATGTATATACATTTTTTCTAAAAATAGATGTTATTCTTGGTGTATATGCTGTTGTTGTCTATTAGCTTACTGATTTTTTCCCTTTAAATTCTAAATTTTGCCAGAGTTGCTAAAATAGTAAATACAGTTAAATTTATTAAATAGTAAATACTAGTTAAAAAATAAAATAAAATCCACATAGTACCTGTAGTTTTAATGCCTCCTAGTTTGACTGGCAGTGTGCTGTCATTTTGTCAATAAGGATGCCAAGGACAGCGGCCTTGTTTTGTTTTGCTTTTGTTTCTACTCCTTAGTTTATCATTGTAGGATCAGGAATTAATTCTCAGGGGTTATGTATTGATTCTAATTCCAGCCTGTTTTCTGAGCCAGTAAGGTGCAAATCGTGTCTAAAGCATACATTCTGTACATGGTAATATAAATATTTTTAAGTGTTTTAAAATTTGAGTCCCTATTAAGCTTTGCGGGGGAAACATGTATACACGGAATAATGTTGCTTTCATGGAGAGGTTAGCAAACGCTATAACAGGGCAGATGGTAAATAGTTTTGGCTTTGCGGGCGACAGGTTGTCTGTCACAACCTTGCAACTCTGCTGTCTTAGCCTAAAAGCAGCTGTAAACCCGCATGGGGATGAATTGGCTGTGTCCCAATAAAGCTTCTTTGAAAAAACAGTCAGCAGGGGCCAGATTTGGCTTGTGGGATGTAGTTTGCTGCCCCTTGGTGTATCCCATAAGCTTTAGAGTCAAACACATCTGGGTTCAAATCTTGCCTCCGTCATGTGTTGACTTCTAGAAGCCTCTATTTCTCCATCTGTTAATCAGGGGTAGTCATAGTCCCTACCTCTTAGGGTTTGGTGAGGATCAGATGAGATAATAATGCCAAGTGCTTAAAAGTGCACCGCCATCATCAGGACAGTGAATAGTAGTTAACCAGCTTTTGCGGCCTCATTATTATTTACTATTATGGCCATATCGCTAAAGGCTACTGAGATTTGTGTTCTGTAGAACCTCAATGGTTAGTCTTAAGGGTGTGTCCAAACCCAGGAGCCCCAAGAGACCTCATCCCTGAGATGCCCATTGTAACCCCCATCTACCTTTCCTCGCACCTACAAAGCACCAGGTGGTCTCTGAGTAAAAACATCACGCGGCACACAATTTCAGTGCTGCTGAAAGTGGCATCCATTTATGTACACAGTCGAGGGCACTGATGTGAGCAGAAAAGAGAATCTTTTACACAACAATGAAGGCACACACAAACCCGAGGGTTTCAGGGGAGCTAGCAAAATGGGCCCTGTGACCTTGGGAACAGGGGCATAAAATTAGGACAGAAAGTATTTTGCTGTTAGGGGGCGCTGTACCTGCATATTAGCATCCTGTACGATGTGATACTTAAAGTAATTCTCATACTGAAGTGAAGGTTGTTTACATTTAAAAAGAGGGAGACCAGGTTTTTTCCATGTGAGTGGAGAGAATACACTGTATTACCAACTCTCCCTCAAACAGTTGAAACTCGACTTTTTTCCATTTCCCCAAAATTACCCAAATGAGTTTTATACTTTTTTTTATATCTTGCCTTTGGAAGCCTGTGCTGCTGTTTAAACACTGCCTGGATCTGTGCAGTTAAGAACTATGTCTTTGAGAACAAGACTTCCAAGTCAGATCTTTATTGGTAACCTCCTTCTGACTTCTGAATTTTAACTGTCTCCCAGTGGGGCATAAAACATGTAGCATTCAGACAACTTTATGTGCTGCTTGAAAGAACACTTCAGTAGGATGTTTCCTGCCTTTCATGCCCTCGTTTGCCAGCAGATTGAGCTAATTCTAATGCAGTCGCGTTCTTTATGCACTCTTACTTGTTTGATTCATGGTATTGGGAAAGGGGAGGAGAAGAAAGATGTGTAATGACAGCAATTGGCGCCTATTTGCTTCAAATTCTGCGGAAGGTGGATTTAATGGAACTTAATTGTCAGTGGTGCAGAAGCTGCAGATGTAAAGGCATTCAAACCCCAGCAGTCGTTATCCACAGCGTGGAAAGTGAAATTAAGCTAAGTCAAAAAGGTGATTTATGTGTTTCGCAATCTTTCATGCAGGGTTTTGACTTCCTGAAACCGCTCAACTGCCCTTCCCTGGTGGTAACGAAAGTGGTTGGCTCATATGACTTTCTTCCCATGATCCTTTGTCACAGGTCCTAGTGCCACCAATCTCATAATAGGCTCCATCGCTGGTGCCATCCTGGTAGCAGCTATTGTCCTTGGGGGCACAGGATGGGGATTTAAGTAAGCAACGCCGCATGCCTTCTTCTCAGTGGCTCTGGCACTTCTCTTTTCTGCTTACATAACCAAGTTTTGAGTTCCTGCTACAAGTTTTAACACTAAGACTGAGAAAAATAACTCATTCACAAATGGGTCAGAAAAGAAGAAACATGGAAACACCAATGTCATCTTCAGGCAAGTGGGGAAACATGGAATGTGAAAGGAACTCACATGCACTGGGTTGAAGAGAAAAAGTGGGAAGACAGTCAGCTTTTAGAGGCAACAATCTGAGAGACCTTTATTAATACACAGGTCTGTGAGGAAACTGTGCAGTTGGAAATGGTGGACATAAACTCCTTGAATCTGTTTAAAACTGGTTTATAGTCCAATGGGCATTTTGAAAATTTCACACCCCAAGTAACCATTTGCTCATCATTTTTCACATGTCGTACTGTCTGTAGCTTTATGATTTTAAAAGCTTCATTATTTTATATAAACAGGTTTTCAAAAGTATTTTCATTAATTCTCTAACCAGCTGAATTGGTTTCACATTGGAATTTAAAGTCTGTAGTTTTGTGATAATATTTTCTAATTAACTGCAAATGTCGGTGTGACTGGTAGGCCTGGTGTGTCTTCAGAGTACTCTTTTAGTTTGGATTGTACATTGATCATGGAACTAAGTTCATTTAAATAGATGTGCCAGATAATCACAAATAACCCAAAATTTCAAACCTAATTTACTCAGTTCGGATATTTCTATACTTCAGATTCATCGGGTAATTGCTTCCTATTGCTTTTCGTGCTGTGGTGCCTCACGATTTGTAAATAAGACCTCTTATGCGAAGTATTCCTTGTGATAAATTACATTTCAACCAGATCTGTAGAAACAGATTTAAGTGGGAAGTAAGACCGTTGCCTAAATTCAAAGCCCACTTTCCTTCATCTGGTTACACAATTGAGGAAGCTTTTGACCTGAATTGTCTGAATAATTGCCTTAATTAGGAAGTCTTACATTTGGTATCCTGAATTCTGTGTATTTCAACCAGTTAAAATGTCATGATTAGAAATTGCTTATGAAAGAAAAACAAACCAAAAGATGATTTAAATTAATTCAAGCCTACAAGTTTTTGAGTGTTTTCAACTTGGAAAGTTGTTACCAAATAGTACTTCTTTTCCACAGAGAGACTTATAAACTTGAACCTGTTTGATGGAACATTAGTTTTGGCATCAATGTGTTTTCAAAAACGCACTCCCAATGGGCAACTCATGTTTGAATTTCTCATCACAATATTACCAAACATTGGCCCAGATACTGAGTCACTCATGTGGCACATGACAGAATAACATGTTTTTGTTTGGACTGGTCTAATTCAAGAAAATATTTCTTAGTGCCTTGTTACTTTACTATAAACAAGTCACTGTACATGACAGTTGTTCCATGATCCATTAGTTTATAAGGCCCTCATTTAAATATGCCTCAAGGAAAAGAAATTTGGCTCATGCTTAGGCTTATGCCTCTGGCATGAGGAAGCCTCAGTTTCCACGGCTTGGAAAACAGCCTTCTGTACATCTTTGCCTTCCAGCCGCAAGCATACCAAATGTCCCATCTCAACATTTGGAGATAAGAGCACAATTCTGTAGCAGGACCTCAAAACGGCGGCTTGGCCTAGCTCACAGCTTGAATTGCATGTTTCTTTGGGGAAAAAACAGAAAAGCCTTTTTATCACTGTGTATATAAGTGGATTAGGCCCTGTTTAGATTAATTAAATCTGAGAGAGATGTCTAATCAACCTAACAGAAAGGGTGGGTGGGGAGATGGGCATTGGGTGAGGTGAGAAAGAGCTGTGGGATTGCTGTGCAGGTGCTGTGCTAGGTCAATGTCCCTTCCCGTGCCCTACGACCTTAATAAAGAAAAACATTGTAGAACAGTGTGAAGTAAATTTTTTATGTTCTGAAAAAAAAAGTGAAGGAGTGAAGCCACTTTAGGAGTTTAGATGTGGAGAAGCTGCTGCTTTTCGTGCTGTTGGTTGCTACATGAGGTTCTGAATTTGCTTTCGACTTCAATAGTAGCTACGTGGTTTATATTCGACATGAAAGATCTACGACTTTGCAGTAAAAGACTGTGGGTGCTGAATGATCAAGTTTAGGTTTTCTCACCACCTGGGCAGTGTGGGAGATGACTAATATAGACATGCTTTGGAAGTAGTAGTATTTGCTAGTTGAACTGAAAGCTTTCGAGTTTTTCATTGAGTTCAGTGAAAATACTAAAGAGGTTCCCTTTAGAAGCAGAAGTTGAAAAAACAGTTTGTAAGAAAGATCGCTCTAAATACCTGTATTGGACATCCCTCCTGAATCAGGTCTTTATTGCTAGAAGAGCCATTAACAAAGTAACCTGCAGAATTGGAGGGCACACAAACTTCCAAAAGTATGAACTGCTCAGGAGAAGTACGGCTTTTTCCTAACGTCACGTGTCTTTGGACAGAACACCGTGAGGAGTAACGTAGATGTGGAAGAAGGGTCAGCCATACCTGACCCATTCAAGTACAAATGAGAAATATAGGAATGCTTTGACCCCTGACATATACTGCCATTTTTTATAGTTTTTTCCTCTTAAACCATATTTCCTCTGAATAGGTGGTAAAAACCAAGCGTGCATGTGAGTGTGATGTATGTGTGAATATAGGTACATTTGTATGTGTAAGGTGATAGTGAAGGTTTGTCAAGATTAGTGTGGTAAAAAATAATATAAATTTATATTACTTCTTCTTAGCAGAGTCATAGAATCTGAAAGCTTTGCTTAATGAAAATAAGACTTTCATAAGCAAGGTTATAGACTTCCTGAAAAGAAAAAAAAAATGCTTTATTTGGTAGGTTATTGTATTTGACATATCCTGATCTATTGGGCAATGTGGTAGATATATACCTTAGTAACTGTAGTTAATTTCATACTCTAAAAGTATGAGGTTTCTAAGGGATGGTTTAGTCTATGGATTTCCAGTCTTTTGGGTCTTAGAATTTTCCTCTGAGACATCCTGTGCAAAATAAATCTAGGCTCTTGGCGCACCGACTTGTCCAACATTTCCCCACATCTTCATTTAATAACCCTCACCCCATGCTCCTTATCCTCTCCATCACCTACACACACACACTGATGCAGTGGTGCAGAGGATTGCAAACTCTGTCCTGACTCATGGGGACTTGGGGCTTCTATCCAATGTTGTGTAACAATTTACTTGAGTAGATCACCAGAGCTGTTGCTTTTATTAGATTTTGGGAAAAATCATGTAGATGAAGGGTCATTTTAGTAGCATCTTCTCTAAAGCTTAGGAAAGGTGACAATTATATGAAAAGAACATTTCATATCTTCATTTAAAATGAACAGAATTGCTGTCATTGCCTTGCACATGGCTTTTTTTACTGCCAATTCCTAAATCTGAATACAGAAAACTTGATGTGAGGTACGGTCGTTTACATGCACATAAAATATATGAACGCCATAGTTGATGGTAGTAGGAAAGAGAAATTCTAGGTGATGGTAGGAAAATTACTTGAAGGTAGGTAACAGTGACATAGTTTGGTGACAATGAAAATCACAAGATTTTAGGATGAGTGTTGGGCTCTTCCAACTATACCTTAATGTTTCAGCCTGTGGAACCCCCTCACCATGTCCCACTGTCCCACTACTTGCTCTCTCCATGGGGTTCAGTGACAGCAGTGGCCATACTGGCCTGGCAGAGCTGCTCTTGACATTAAAGTAGTTCATTTAATAAGTGTAATTATCATATGTGATTTTTCCTCTATGAGAAGTTTCTTGGGTTGCACATTCTTACTGAGCCTGACTTTGTAAGCGGTTCTGTTTGACCTATGTTCTACTTCACTGGCCATGGTGAAGCACAGACTGTTTAGGTACTCACATAAATGAAAACTTAAAGGACCCACCTGGATGAATACAAGGGAAGTTAACTGAATTGTTTGAATGTCAAGTTGGATGAAATTGGAAAGGAATTTAATATTGCTAATTATATTTTCTCAAAAGAATACATGTCTTTTTTAAAATTTGCTTTTGGGTTTTACAGAGTTAGGAAATGGGATCAATGTTGCCCATTCTTTCCATGAGGAGCATAACCAGACTTACTGCTTATCCGAATTCCATGACAAGATCCCAATGCAAAATTCCCCCAGTGCCTGCTCCTCCTGTGTTAGGCAGTTTCTCACTCAGGTTGCCAGGAAGACGGAGTTCAGCCCCCTGACTCCACCCCTGGGGAAGTGAACTCAGTCTAAGGTCGCCTAGAAAGAGTGAAGTGAGGGGTTTTTGGTGGGTGGGCAAAGACTCATTGTGGAGAGATAAGAAGGTGATAGCAGTGGATCAATATACCCTTGAAAGATCTAAAGTCTTTACAATCTGAGATGGTTGTTGTTACCTGCATAGTTGTTTTAATTTTGTATACATGTATGTGTGTATACTATATATTGTGGACAAAAGTACAGGTTTTTCAGAACTAGTAAAAGTTAATGAAAATGGGATCAATGCAAGGTTTGTGCTTTATGGTAATCTATATACAATGGGGCCTTGACTTACAAGTTTAATTCATTCTGTGATGGAACTCATAACTCAAATTACTCGTATGTCAAATCAAAAAGTGAATGAGTGAGACACGTGATGCTGGGCTGATGTTGTGGCGTTCACTGTGATGTTCTCTGTGCCAACTAGCGTGGGGTATCTGAAGCTGGCTCGTAACCTGAATTTTAGCTCGCAACTCAAAGCAAAATATCGGCCAAGAGACTTGTTAGTCGGGACACTTGTAAGTCAAGGCCCCACTGTATATAAAAGCCTAAGCGACCATCACAACGGAATGGACAACTCAATGGGCTCCATGGGGTGACCAGGCCGGCAGGGGGGTTAGTGAGGGATGACCAAAAGACTGAACAGCATGCTGTGTGGGGGCGACCAGGCTGGCAGGGGGATTAGTGAGGGACAAACAAATGACTAAGCAGCAGGCTGCAAAGATGGTGGCACCCACAGTCAATAAGGAGGGAATATGCTAATTGAATG